ATGGTGGGAGCACACGGTGACAGGAAGCTGCTCACCTCACGGCTTCCAGGAAGCAAAGAGAGGCTGGGGACAGACCAGCATCCCCTCATCCCCATCGGGGTCATGGGGACACATCCCCTGGTACACGATTTCCACCCTCTAGTCCTTACCTCTTAAATGCTCGATAGGCTGACTGAGCCTTTAACATCAGTGCCTCTGGGGATACTTATCCAAAACTCAGCCGAGGTGTACTGCTCCTTTGCCACCAGTTCTGATGAAACAGCCTTAACCAGACTAGTAGGGCTCCAGCGTAGTGTTTCAGCCAGTGCATGGAGAAAAGTGAGGACCCAAAAGTCCAGCTTTTCTTCTCCTTGGTCAGGTAAATCTATACAAGTTACTTAATGCTTTGGTGCCTTGGTTTCGTCATATATAAAATGAAGGCAATAATAATTGTACCTGCTCTGAAGTTATCACGAGGCTTTGATAAACCTGACTATGACTCATGCACAACAAATGCTAGCTATCATTTAGGGCTAGGAGTGACAGGGGTAAAGATCTTAAAATCCAGAACTTTCATACACCTGTTTCGTAAGTCAATCCAACATACTGGAGCCTTTACTACGAAGAAATTCTTAAAAGACTTTCAAGAAGTTTGTTTGACAACCACTCACATCCACTGAAAATTAATATATTGGAAAAACTCCTGCCAAAAAGTTAAAAATTATCTCTGAATATCTTCCCCAGGCTCTCTACACTGAGGTACGTTGTTTTTCTTTTTTTCACCTAAACTAGCAAAAGGCAGGGACACTCTTCCTCAAAGGCACGTTGACCAACGTCTGATATAGAGGTTTCCAGAAGCATAATGTCTACACACTTACATAGTTGCTTTGTGACTGGTTGTGTTCACATTTTTTGGTTGTTTTGACAAAATACCCAAGAATAACAAGTTGAAAAAGGAAGAAAAGATTTATTTTGACTCACAGTTTCAGAAGTTTCAGCCCATGGTCATTTTTCTGTTGCTTCGAGGCGTGTATGAGAAGAAACATCATGGCAGGAGGGTGTGACCGCCTCGTGGCAGCCATGCAGCAGAGCAAGCAAGCAAGAACCAGAGAGCAAGGGACTGGGACAAAGCATACACCTCAGGGCCATACCCCTTGTGGCCTGCTTCATCTAACTAGATCCCTCTGCCTAATAACCCCACGAGCTATGGGCTCAGGACACTAATCCACCGATGAAATTAGAGCCTTCGTAACCCAACCACTTCCCAAAATGCCAAACTCTAAATACTGCTGCACTGAGGACCAAAAAGCCCCCAAACACCTGAGCCCTGGAGGGGCCTGGCACATTCAAACCGTAACACTAGTCAAAAGGCCAAATAATTCATTACAACTGATAATATGCTAAAATAAGCACCTGTATGAAAATTAACCGATATGGCACAATGTATCTTCCAAAGATAGTCAGGGAAGTATCTCCTGTTTCATTTTTTTTTTCCTATTTCATTTTTTAAATACCTGTCCCCACTGAGAAGGAGGTTTTATGTCCCCTCCTGGAAGGGCTTGGGCAAGATGTGCTGTGACTTGCAAGGTTGTCATACAAGGCAGTACAGCTCCCTCCTGGCTTTCCCTGGGATGCCAATGCCCAGAAGTATGTGCCTTCACTGAGCTAACTCACTCCCTTCTCTCTCTTTCTCTGTCTTTGGCTTCTTTAACTTTTTTCCTGAGTTGTCCTACTGTACTCTCTCTGCAGTTAAATCACCCTGGATTCCAGGAACAATGGGTTTGATGGATAAACGAAGAACCAAAACTACTCTCAAGTAACTGGGAGTTTCACACTGTGATGAGCATGCGCTAGTTGGTGGGAGCAGCTACCCCAGGAGGGGAACTGAGGCTGCACCCCTAAGCAGGAGCAGTCATCTCAGGGTGGACTGAACTGCCCTCTGAAGCTATGACCACTTCCTGGAGCTTCCCAGAACCAGTCCTAAAATAATGATCAAGCAGACCACAGCCTGACCAGGATTACCTGCTCTCCCAGCTGTGCAAACCCCCAGCCCTTCCTTTGCTCCCCTTTTCTATAAAACCTCTCAGCAACTCTGTCAGCCCCGAAAAGACAGCTCCTGGGTCACCAGTCCCTTTTCTGTTCTTCCTAGAGTGGCCACGCAGATTAAAGCTTCTTTCTCAGCTCATCGTGGCTGTCTCTTTGACATCTCAGGACCAGTATTCAAGCCCAGTGTATTGGGACCCCTGAAGCTAAGGCATTTGTCCCAAAACTCCAGTAACAGGTGCTCCATCCAGCAGCCCCAACCATGTCCCAGCCAACAATGGCCTCGGTTGTGAGACACAGAAGTACGTAGTCCAGAAGGCCCTGGGCCCAGAGCTGAGCAAAGTGCCCCATCTGCTCCAGTCCCCTAAGAAATCAACTCCTGCATTAAAGCAATTGCTTCTGTGCTATTTTTAGTAACATCTTATTTTACTTTAACAAACACAGTCTTCTATAGAAAGAACCCCAAATAAACATAAAATAAGGCTGTGCTGCATTTGTTGTAATGTTAGAAGAGGGCAGAAGCTGGCCTGATACAGCTACTTCCCTACTCTTTTCCCCAGCGAGTTTCCCAAGTCTCCAAGGAACCCTGTGTGAGAATGTGTGCATGCTCTAGGAGAGTGGTGGCGAACGTATGGCACATGTGTCCCGGTGGGTGCACAGAGCCCTCTCTGCTGGCACACAAGCCAAGTCACCCCCGCAGATAACAGTTGTTTTTTCTAAACTGAAACCTCAGTATTCATATTTCAATGCAGCGTTGGCCTTTGCCCATAAATGAAAGGTTCACCACATCCCTGCTCTAGGACTAGTCCAGGTAGCAGAATTGGGGTTGGGAGACTACTCCCTGTTTTTCCATCTGAACTTGGATACTACTCAAGGGACAGTCCTGCTTTCTTTTATTGTCCTATGAGAAACAAAAGTTAAAAAACACTCCTTCACTCAGGCAACCTCCAAAGCTTCAGCCCAGAACATAGAATATCACATCCAGTGGCCTGACCCTCAGCAACCTTTTCCCCACTTGCACTTCATGAAAGACTCACATGTAGAGACAACACACAACATGAAAATTCTGGGACAGTCATGTATACTAAGCAGCCCTTGAGATGACTCAGCATCCTGTCAATCATTTGTGTCAGTCACTGCAGAGAGATACAGTGGGAGGCACCCAGGGCTGCGTGCACATCTTTTAAATCAGAAAGCCTGATTTATCTTCATTCTTCTTACCTTCACCCCCCACTTGCGGGCACCTTTTTTCCCTTCATGCTCCATTTTGTTTCTGTTGGCACAAACCTAAGCACACCTTCCCCTTAACTTCGATAAATGCAACTTCTTTTTCTTGTGCCACCAATATACACTTGTAGGTCTTTGCTCACCATCAAAGGAACTGGGAATCTATTTTTTGGATCCATCATTCACGGTATCAGGCCTATCAAAGCCTTACTGATGTGTAGCTATCTCAGATGTTCTTCTGAGTTTTTACTTTTACCTGTAACTAGGACAGCAAGGTGCTAGGTGTAACTGCTCTCAAGACTCTGAGAATCAGGGGTAGAATCCTGCTCACCCATGCCAGGTGCTGCTATGATGTCTCTCGGGTAGAGGGTTGTTCAAGAAGAAGGGAGTGGTGAATGAAAGCAAAAGATAGGAAAAGGAATATTGTGGGACTGTCCTGCTTCAAGGTTGTATATGGTGAGATTTTTGGACTTATGTGTAAACATAAGAAGTATATAATTCTATATTC